TTTTGTGGGGCAGCTGCACCGAACACTAAGCCCATGAAGGAGCCAAAGAGCGACGCCAATCCTGAAAAGGCACCGGTGGCACGTGAGTACCTATTCAATCATGCCGTCAAAATGTACACTAAACTAAATTCCCTACCTGTGCCTGCTGCAGCATTGCAAGCGGTTGCCGTTGCCATCACACACATTACTGCCATTGATAAGCTGCGACGCTTCTGCTACATCGGCAACACGGAAGTTGCTGTCTATTTGTTCTCCTCAAACGAGAAGGTGACAAAAGAGAAGTTCACCGAGCTGCTCGTCCTCTGTGCCGAGATTGGTGCCCAGCAGCTGGCGGACTGCCTGGTCGATGTTCTGATTAACAACGACGATTACTTACCACGGCGCGACGAGGCGTTGTTTGTGTTGGCCGTGTACCTGTCGACGTGCACCAATACGCTGGAGAGGGCGCTGTTGCGCAAATATTTTCCTCGGCTGGTGCGCAGAGACACGGAACTCTTTATGTTCACGCAGTTCGTGAAGCAGGTGCAGATATTGCAAGGTCGCAAAACCCCATTCAGTCGCACCATCCGCAAGGCGGTCATGGAGTGGTACCAGGACAAATCGTCGGCTGTGCTGCTGCAAATGTGGGCGAAGAACGAAAAAATCTGTTCCTTTCACAAGGATCTGCTGCGTCGCTGCCATTATATGAATGTGGAAATGATTCCCGAAATTAAGGCCACCCTGCGGCTGTTGTCCACACCCACAAAGGAGCTGGGAAGCTGGCCGGAGTTCCTCAATCCCCTTGTCGAATGTAAAAAACAAATTGAGAGTATTATCAAGCTGCGTAAGACCAAAACAGCCCAGGAGGCTCTGCCGGTACTGAAAGAGCTGTCATTAACGTATGATCAAGTGCCCGACCATTTGCGTTCCGATCCCGCGCTTGCCGAATTCCTGATCCCAATGATCAGCTACGAGCAGCTACTGAAGACCTCGCCGCGGGTGTTGCGTCTCAGTAAGCGAAAGGCAAAGGTCTCGTACATCAAATATCAGGAACAGTTGCTCAACCAAACGAAGATGAAGGCGGCCAACATAGCCCCGCTACGCATCCTTCTGGAAACGATGCGTTTGCATAAGCATAAGGGAGAGGTAACTCATCATCATCCATCTGTGCCTCTCTCTGACGGTTGACCATACTCTCTTCCTCTCTCTCTCTCAATTAGACATCTGCGATTAGCCCGAAGAGGCCAAACTTTTTGTATAATGTCTACGCGGCCTCATTTGGACACAACAAGGCCCTGGGCAAGCGGCTGCACATAACCTTAAATCTGGAAAAGTTGTACTTAGGCAGTGAGTGCTCTAATCGAATACTTCCGAAAATGTAGAACTGATAAAATCTGATTGTAGAATGCCTTAATGGCCGCCATCGGTCGATTAATTATCTGGATGCGCTTGTGGCTCTCGCTTTCGGCTTTTATAAGACCGACACCAACAACAGTAAAGTGAACTATTGGTCCGATCGAACTGGCAAGCTCAAGGCGCTTCCCTGGACTAAGGAAATGACAGTGGTGGAGGCAACGGAATGTTGCAAAACCCAATTGGTAATGCCCACGCCGCTCAGTGGCCATGCAAGCCATAATGCTAACCAATGCTAATGTGTTATAGGTTCAGAAGACCAAGCAGGTGCTCGCAGAAGTAATGATCAGCGCTCTGGAGGATAAGAACACATATGATGTGTTCCTGATCGTGGTGCCGGGCGCCACTCGTGGAAATCCCAATAATAGCGCTAACCGATTGGCCGCCCTCCTGGAGAAGTATAGCGAGGAGCGAAAGTGTAATGCCAAGTAAGTTGCAAAGCTCCCTATAATCGAGAGTTTACTCACGACTTTTTGCAGGTTGATTATTGTGAGCTTGAGGCAGAGCCACAAATCCATGGAGTACTCGACTGTGCTCAAACAGAATGTGCTCGAGCTGTGCGGCGTGAGCGAGTACACGCCCCAAATCATAAACGCCTTTGCGAGCGCAAAGTTCCACTAGGAGGGAAAAGTGAGGCCACAGGAGAGCTACAGAGCAGAGCGCAAGGGACGAGTGCTCCATCTCTTTCGCTTTCATGACGCTAGGGTGACAGTCCCCCCCCTCAACCCATATAATAATGATATTAGCTATAATGTTAGTTCACACACACTCATACACACCTGCATCCAACACACACACAGACACAGAAACACAGAAACAGAAAGCGACTTTAGTTCTGATGTAACGCTCGTATTGAGTACTCGATTTTTTAGATTTTAGATTTGTATTCACCATTTGAACTGTATATGAGATATATTGCTGCTAGTGCTTCAGGCAAATGATTTTTTTTTTAGAAATCAAACTGAATCCACTGAACTGAACTCGAATCTAAATTCAATTTGGATTTAAAACAATCCCAAAGCATCTGAGCGGAAAGAAGTTAGAAAGAACAAACACACACCAAAACGTAAATGTAGCACAGAAACTAAAACTAAAAACTAACAAAAACTGAAACTGAAACCGAAACAACAAATTGCCTTACAAACAAAAAATGTTAGTTAAACTTTCATTTTAGTTGAGAATTTCAAAATACGAAATACGGGCATCGAAACGTACTGAAACACAAATTATGGCATTTAGATAAAGATAAAACAAGTAAACTAATCATTAATCATTAATCATAAACATAAGCAAACAAAAAAAACCGAAAACATATGTAAACCTAAACATAGCCTTAGCTTAAAATAGTCCAAGTCCAAGCAATAATGAATATCAGCTACATACGTGCATATGTACTATATATGTATATGTTTATGTATATGTATATCCTCGGGTCGAATCGAATCAAATGAATCATTAGCTTAATAGTCGGAACGCGTACAAGGCAAAAAGATACTCCCAATGTGCCATACACATACACACACACGCAACACAGACACTCACAGAAACAACCATGAATCAGTATAATTATTAAGATTGCGAAATCGCCAAGATACCCCATAGTTGAGAACAATAACGAGAGGAAACGCCAACCAATTCGACTAAACAAAAATTAGCTAAGCGAAATTATACTTAAATTAAAATTAAAATTACATTTACTGGTATACAGAGCATAGAAAAACCAATTTGGATGTTAAGAAAAACTTGTAACTAACAAGAATGAAAAATAATGAAAACAAAACAAAAACAAAAAAAAAAAATAGGAAATATTTCCACGGACATTTCTAATCAAAATGTTTCCACACGCATCTGTGAAGTAAACCGTTGTGATCGCCTTAATTTTTGCTTTACACAAAACAAAAATGTAACACAAAACTACAAAACATCCAGAACTAGAACAAAAACGAAAACGATAACGATAACAAGAGGATACATATATAAGTTACATTCTGTATAGTTTGTGAAATCGAAATATGGAAATACCAGTGTCCTACTGGAGCTGGAGCGTAACGTAACCGAAAAGTACCTTTACAAGCAAGAAAACAAAAGCTGCAACTGAAACTAAGAAAAACAAACAAAGCAAACAAATTGAATTACACCAAAATGGCACAGCACACACAAATCAAGCAAAACTACACTACAATGTATTCAATTAACCCGCGCTGCCTGGCTCTTAAGCACACACGAATTAGATAGATCAAAGAATAGACTATCCGAACACATACACACAAAAACACCCAAACACACACACACACACATATATATAGACTTGAAATTATTTTGAAATGAAACTGAATATTGATTACGAATCAGTCTTCATAGGTAGTTTTTATTTTGTATTTCTTACTTTGGATATTCTTTTACTAAAAAACATAGATGTAAGAAACATTTGTAAACTCTTACAAAGAGATCTATCCCCAAAGAGAATGAATTGTGTCTATGATTTGTGTAATTGGTCCATGTCTTGAACTATTTCAAATGGGGAACACATTATTGCACGATGAATCAGATATCTACCTGAGGTATATTTTTTTCTTTATATTTTATGTGACAACAAGATACAATCTAATTGAAGTTTTTAGATTTTTATGTATTTCATTCAGGTTCCTACAGTATGTGACGAATTTAAAATCTCATTTTCAATCGGCTAAAACAGGTGGTTGTCCGAATTGGAAAACAAGAACAACCGCATTCCGCAACTGATAAATATTTGGTTTATTTTTTGTTCGTTTTTTTGTTTTGTATTAAGAGTATTTTACATACATACATATAATTTTAATTTAGCTCCGAAGCCAAATTTACTTTTGTATTACACTACAAATAAAAACCCCTGCTACCCCATAAACTATTTGTTAAGCGTATCAGCTCTTGGCTCCGCACCAAAACCGTTGAAAGAAAAGTTGAACCGTTGAAAGGAGGATTTAAAACAATAAATAAAAAATAAAGAAAGTACTGAAAGCCAAGGAACACAATTCGGTTGGTGGAAATTTAAATATTTAAAACGAGAACAAGCTAAATTATTGTTGATCGAATCAATTGAAAAACTGAAACTGAAACTAAAACTAAACTGAAACTGAGCTCGAATTGAATCCGTAGTAACAGCAACAAGAAGCAAAACATCATGTGATATATATTTCAAAAATAAATCAATTGACAAAAACTAAACAAAACTAAAGAAAGAGAAACCTATCCATAACAAAGCAAGATATAGTAAAAATTAGACTAAAGCAAAGAGCAAACAAATGTTTAGAACGTATCTCCATCTCCCCCCGTCGAGAGAAAAAGGTTCAAGAGGTTTATCATTTCCATTGAAGAGTTACTTAAGAACCCGAACACGAACCCGAATGTTTTGTTAGGCATGTTCCATTGAGTATAAATTGGGTTAGCACACAACCACCAGAAAGGGACACTGATAGTCCTTGAACGATAGCAATACTTGGCTCGACTCTATCTCTACGTATCTCCCTCTCTCTATCTCTCTCTCTCTCTATGCATCTAGTACGATATTAATCGAAGTACGAGTAGTATTGGATTGTAAGCGTGTTCTGGACGTGTTCAACTCCTTGCTATTCCAGAACGTTTTTTTTATAAGCATATACATATACATACTTCTTATACACTAATCTAGACTAAATTTGAATAAATTCTGAATGAAACAAACTGGCATTGTAATTTGGTCGGGGTGGGGTGTCTTCTACTTCTGTTTCTGATTCTGTTTCGGTGGACTGCTTTTCTCAATTCTCGATTGGCCTTCTAGTTCTACTTGTTCTCCGTAATAATGCCGGCAGGGCCACATACGTAGAGCTGTTGCTCATCTCGGTCCCGGATGGGCGTGAAGCCGAGGTTGTCGGTGGGCACTCCGAACTGCTTAAGCTTGCACTCATAGGTCTCCAGGAGATCGTCGTGGGCCTTGCGGGCCTTGGCCACCTCGTAGCGCAGGTCGATGATGATCTTGTTCTTCTCGTCGATGATGTTGCCCACCCGTTCGTCTAGGCTGGTTAGTTTGTCGGCGAAATTGGGCGCGCAGGTGGCTATGGTCTCGTGCAGCACGATGCTGCGCTTCTCGTCCTCGCGCATCAGGGCAGCAATCTTGCGCTCCAGCAGCACATTCTTCAGGCCCGTCTTCTGCTGTAACTCCACAATGACGTCGTTGAAGCGCTCCTTGAGTGACTCCCGCTCGGCCACGAGCGAATCGTTGCGAAGGATCAGGGTCTCCGCTTCCCAGGTCAGGCCCTTCACCTTCTTCTCCAGCTTCGTGTTGCGGCTCTTGAGGCGGCTCAACTGCTGCTTGTCCCGTTCGTAGAACTCCAGCTTGCGGCGGAACTCGTTCAGCTGGATGTTGGCCTGCTCGAGGGGCTCTCGGAGGCGCTTGTTCTCCAGGGCCGTGTCCGCGGCGATGCGGTCGCTGCGCTCGGTCTGCTTGCGCAGCTGCTCCAGCTGCTCCTTCATGCTGCCGATGAGGGCCAGGTTGTTGAGGGTGATGTCATTGTAGTAGTTCTTCATGTCGTTGAAGGCCCCGTCGTGGTGGTCCTGCAGGTCCTTGATCTGCTGGTTCTTGCGCTCCTCCACCTCGAACATCTGGGTGCCGTAGAACAGGTCCAGCTTGGACTTCTGCTCCATCATCTTCTCTTCGTGCAGCATCTCGTTGTCCTTGCGCTCCCGATCGAAAGCTAGCCGCTGCTCCCTGAAATCGCGAGAGAGTAATCAGTACTGGATCAAGGAGCTGCGAAAGAGCGCACCCACAGTATTTTCTCGTTGAAGTGGGCCTCCATCTGGCGCAGCTGCATCTCGCCAACCTCCATGCGCTCGCGCAGAATGCGCCGCAGCTGGCGCTTGTCCTTCTGCAGCTCGGTCTCCTGCAGGATATGGTGCTCCTGGGCCAGTTTCAGCTGGGTCATCGCCTCCGCCCGCACCTCGCCCAGCTTGTTGTGGTTCTCGAACTGCAGATGCTTCATCTGCTGCATCACATGCTTGGTGTCGATGTCCGCCAGATCCTGCGTGGCCTCGATCTCCTTATCCTTCTGCTGCAGCTCATAGCGCGTCTCATCTGGGCATGGCATTAATTATAGATCTGGCTGGGGAGCGGGCTACCGCATACCGACTCACCCAACTGCTGGCGTGTGATCTCCCAGAAGGTGCGAATCTTGTCCCTCTCCAGCTGGAAGTAGTTTCGCTCCTCCCGCTCGCGATCCATCTCAGCCTTTAGGCGCAGGGAAAACGCCTCTAGCTGGTCGCGTGTCATCGCCGACGTGTCCACGCCATCGATGAGCACTGTGGTTTAGAGAGAGAGAGAGAGAGAAACGAAAGTTTGTGGAAGTTAGTTTAACCGCATATTTTGGGTGCCCAAGCCCATCTTTATGACAATTTAATGAGAACGGCACGCGCTCCCCTGTCTGCCGGTTTGCCCAGTGCCTGTCCGCATATGTGGCCCGGACCCAGACCCGGACCCGTGCAGACTGTGTTGTAATTGTTTTCTGTAATTGGCATCGTTGGCCGGCTGGTGCCAGGACTCGGACGAGGACGAAGACTCGGACTAGGAGCAGGAACAGGAACAGAACTAGCATTGGAAGCCAGGCATAGAAACAATTATGTGCGTTAGATGTCCAACGGAGAGGAGAGGAGACGGTGGACGGTGAAGGCAGAGTGCAGTGTGTGCTCTCACTCGTGGAAATTAAGTGGACAGTTTTTCCCTTTGGAATTTTTTTGGTTGCACTGCGTACTGGGCCTGTGCTTGGGCAATTACACTGTGCATCGGACATGTCCTGCTACTGCTCCTGCTCTCGCCTCTCCTCACGCAGATTATCGTTATTTACTAATTGTTTTGCTTGGCCTTTTTAAATTGCCCTGAATGACCAATGTCCACCATTCCATCCTGCCTCGGCCTCGGCCTCGTTCCGTACCCGTACTTGAACTCGTACCCTTCTCCGTCCTGCAGCACCCTGTACAGCCATTAATGTTCCGAAAATGAATTGCCAGGCAGACCTCGTTGCCTCGCCTGCTGCCTGTTGGAGCTGTCTCTCTTTATGGGAGCCTGGCTGTCTTTATGGGCGGAGACTTAAAGAGCTTTTGAGTGGAAATATTTGAAGAGCACGGAACTATTGGGTTGGCAACTGCCTCAGAAGATCTATTATGTTCTTCCAATGCCACACAGGAATGTGCAGTCTGTACATAAATAGATGGATATGTACATATATAGTTAATAAAAGGGAAGGACATCTCTGAAATATCTCTGAAATAAAGTAAAGATCGGACATTCTTCTGATAGTCTGAAGGTGTACTTGGCGGATATGTCGATTGAATGTCGATTAATAATACCTCGATTAAGGCTTATGCGTTTTTATGGATTTACGTCTTCTATCACATAATTACTTGATCACTTACCCGGCATCTTCTTGCCCTTCTTGCCCTTTTTCCCCTTTGGCGGCTGTAATTAAGAAAATATTGTACATTTTTAGTTAAATAAAATTTCATTAAATAAATAAATATTGTAAATATATGAAGAAAAATCGAAGGAAAAGGTGAGAGAAATAACCAATTTTGAAGATTATTCTGCTTGCTGAACTGCTTTCGAAACATTTCAATGGACTGCTTGCCAAAAGCGCTTTGATACTGATCTACTTATCGAATGATGCTGTGCACTGCTTGTCAAAGCGCAGGAGCCACAGGAGGTCGACTTTGACTTTGGGAGCTTCTTGGCCTTATATCTTCCCCTATCCTCCACATTTGTCAATGCAAATTCCATTAGGGGCTCCATGCGGCGTGGGGGTGGGTGCTGTGTGCTGCTGGCGTGGTGCACAATTGTCGTCTGGTGCTGCGACTCTACTGCTCCTGTTCTTCCGTGTGGCAACTATTTTTCGCACTTTAAATCCTTTAACAACATTTAATTCGATTCTCTCTCTCCCCCACTGGAGAAATACTCTGCCACTTCCCCTCCACTCCACTCTGTCTCTGTCTCTGCCAAGGCAAAGGCGAACCGAACCGAACCGAGCGCGCGACTGTAGAGAGAGAGACGGCGGCGGCGTCGCTTTAAATAATGTGATGGCGCGGCTTTCAAAACAATTTTGCAACAGCTGTTGGCTGTTGGCTTATTGCATATTTTATGGCTGCAAATTATTCAAAAATTTTCGAAGCCGCCTGCGCTGCGACCGCGCTGTCCACCGCTCTCTGTCCCTACTACATCCTCCTGCTGGTCCTCCTGCTCGTCGTTGGCCCAAAGGCGGAAAGTATATGTATATAAATACACAAGTACATGTACAGCAACGGCTATATGTATATACGTATAAACAAATGATCGAAAATAGACAACAAACGAGTGCATGCTGGTGGGGCCTCTGCCTGGAGGCGGAGTCGGGGTCTGAGCTGAGATTCAACTGAGACGCAACGGCGGATAGGGCCGGCGGACTCTGGGGCTGTAATAAATATACACCCACAAATGCATATACAGTATGCATTTTGTATGTGTCTGAGTCTGCAGCAACAGCCTGGCGTGGCATGAAAAATTGAATGCGCTGCAGCGGTAGTGGTAGTGGCAGTGTCAGTGGCAGCGACAGCGCAACTGAAACTGAAAGGAGCTCTCCATCTTCGATGGCCTTATCACGGACGCCATCAGAGGCCGAAGTAGTGGAATGGTAGATAAGGAGCAACTGCACTGCTTGCACTTGTCCAGTGCTTATTACACGAGGAGGCAGAAACAGTAAGCACAGCTGATTGCTGCTTGCCCACAGCTTGCTTTTTGAAGATCCTTTCTGCTGATCCTTTTTGTTGCTGTGATGATAGAGCAAAGGGAAAGGGAGATACGAATAGTTGGGAACGAAGAGCAGCTTCATGGTTTGTTTACTTTCCCATTGCTTTTTTCATGTGTTGTCTGAAGCTTAAATAACCAAAAATGCATTGCTTTCTGTATTGAACTGATTTCTACAACAGCTCCTTCTCGATTTACTGTTCGCGAATCGAATTGAAAGATCTGCCTGTTAAACACTTACCATTTTGCTGTTTCTTCTGCTGCTGCTTCAACTAAGACGTCTCTTTCACTGGGCCTGTTCTGCTGAGTCCACTGCAACTGCCTGCAATACTCTCCAAATAACGAAATAAACGTATCGATAAAACGGGGTTGCCCAGCACGTGCTTTGTATAAGAGGGTGGGGTGTGAGTAAAGTGCTGCCAGGCAACCAGAAAGAACACTGTGCTATAGATATGATAAGTTCTTGGCCCTACGAATTATTTGGAGTCGGTGTTCGAAACAAATTGTTTTATTACTGTTGACATTTCTCGCTTGGCTCTCTAGCTTTAGTTGTTCTCTTGTCATATGATATTATTATTTGAACATCTTGTGATTATGGGCAGCTTTCATCTTTGAATAAATGACTTGTTTAAATGTGCTTTTCGAGAGTTATTCTGTAAGAGCATTTCGGGATGGCACTCTTATCAATGTTCGGAGGTATTCCCAAATATCGGATGGCAAAGGACCAAGCGATTTGCAAGGGAGAGCATATTCCTGAAACTTGAAATTGAAAACAACGAACGGTGAATGGTGGTGACCCCGACAATTCGTTGGCCTCCACCCAGCCCTCTGCATACCGATACCAGTCTACAGTCGCCCCTACTCTGACTGAGACTCCGGAGAAGAGCTCCAGACCTGGCCAGACCAGACTCTCTTATCGCTGCCGTCGTATTCCGGAGCCAGTTGCCGTCTGCAGCTTAAACAAGCTGCTTTCTTGGGAGGAGGGTTACCACCCGCCCTGCTACCCCTGCTATTCTTATGTTCCTCCCTTGCTCTCCATGTGAATTTGTTCGTTTGTTTGTTCATTTTTCGGACTTTAAATGCGCTCTGGCATTGCAGTCTGCCGTTGACTGGTTAATTTGATGATTTTGTGAAATAAGATATAATCAGGAGACTGGAAATCTTTGCTCCCTCTCTCGCTCTCTCTCTCTCTCTCTCTATATATCAAAGCAAGAAACGGCTTTGAAAACTAAACTCTTCAACATTTTCGTCAAACGATCCCGACTGTGTGGCACCTTCCGTTTGGGCACCTATTTAGGGTTAAATTTCACTCCGAAAATTTATCCGGCCTAATTAATGTGTAAGGCCCAAGTGGGGACTGCCTGGGGCAGGGACTGGGGCTGTGTAAACAGAAGCCCAAAAGTGTGGAGTGTACGCAGTTGGGGGTGTTGGCATATTGCTGATTTTCTGGGCTCCCTGGTTAAATGCTTTAATTGAAATTAATAACCGCAGTCAGCAGTTGAGCAGTTGAGCAGTCAAGCAGTGGAGGCAGTCTGCTGGAGCTGTTGCTGGAGCGCATTCCCCTAAACGGAGAACCCCGTGGCTTCGGCATAGACGCCGAGAATTTTCAATTGTTTTCATTAAAAGTCAATTTTTGATACGCGAAGACGCTTCAGCGGCTAACTTCAACCCTTTCCGAGTGTCCTTTCGGTCCCGTTTTCAGTCCTTGTTTTGAGCCGCCCTCGCATAATTTCTGTTTCATTTTGATTCTGGCCAACGGCTGCGGTCGGTCATGCCCCATTGAGCTCCGTAACGGCTGTCAAGGGTCGCGGGAGGGAACGAAAAAGAGTGAGAAGGGTAGTGGTAGTGGGGAAGGCGTGGTGATTGAAACTGAAAGTATTTAAAATATGATTAGAAAATTTGCTTATCGAGGTCGAGGTGTGTCTTGTGCTATGTCTGTCCTCTTTAAAGAGAAATTTGCACTTACAGAAAATACAATATTTTTCTAACGAATTGTATTCTTGATCTATCAAGGCTATCGAATTACCCTTTCCTTCTTCTAGTCACACTATTCGTATCCCTTCCGCTCTACATTTAAGCTTATCTCTTAGTCTTGTTCTTTTTCCTCGCGGCTTCATCCTGCATTACGAGTATTCCTCATCATAATGTAATGCCATTTCTGTGAGTTAAAAAGAGGCAAAATAAAAGGTTGACGGGTGGGAAAAGTGGCTTAGCGGTTAGCGGGAAAAGGACGGGCTGACAGGCGGGGTTTCAGTGACGTTTTGTCCCCGAGTATTATTACGTAATTTGCGATAAATGTCATGCAGCATCATCCTTCTATTCGTATTCGTATAAGTCGTCTGTGTGTGTGCGTGTGTGTGTGTGTGGGAGTGTGAGAAATTTGTAGTAGTTTGTGAATGAAATGGAGGCAGGATATATAGGTAGTAAGGGCAGAGGGCGGAGGGACAGGGGGCGGTGCAGGCTCAGTGCTCATTGCGGTGGCAAAAGTTATTTGCTGTGTTATTTTCACAACAACTTCCGCTTTGGCGCAGAAACGGATATCCGGTCTCTGAGTGAGAGATGCAGATGGAGAAATAGATGGAGAAGGAGATGCAGATGCAGATGAAGAGGGGGGTAGGAGAGAGAGTTTGGGAAATTTGTTGTTGGTGCAGCTGCTTGGACTTGCTGTCTTGTCTGTTGTATGCCCCCAAAAACAGACCAGCCCCCGTCCCTTCGCCATATGCAGATTTTGCTTTTACAACTCTCGATCCAAACTTTGACTTGTGCATATATACACCCCCCATCCCCCATCCCCGTCTCCCCACTCCCAGTAGTCCACGCAATTTAAACTTTCTGATTAATTTTAATAAATATATTTTTGTCCTTTATTTGTAGAATTTGTTCGTTTACCATATATATATATATATATATATATATATAATTTTATATATATAATTTCCTTTGTGGTTGTATATATTCGTGTTTCGTTATTACATATATATAAGTTATACTTTATACTTTATGCGATTTATACTCGTAGATATATGTCCATACATATATTTATTTTCCTCTTCTTTGTTTTTTTTGTGGGAAGGGGGGAGGGGGTTTGGGATTATCGTGAACTTTGATTAAGCTTCAGTTTTGGGTAAAATGTTATTGAAGATCCTTAAATCTTTGCAGATCTGGTTTTTGTATTATGGTTTATCTTTATTTCGATCGATAAATAATCGATATTGGATCGATGATCATTATTTTAACTATAAATGAAGTCGCTTCACCGGCTATATACAATTTTGAGATGGTTTTTTTCTAATCAACTTTCTTATATATGTACATTCTTACACTAAAGAGAAACTGGGAGCAACAAAAAAGGCGTGTAACCAAGGGTTCGTACATCGTATAGTTATACTCCATATAGATATAGATCTAGATATCATCTCCAACAAAAACCATATATACAGAATGTCACACAAAACAATACTCTACTCTGGAATGCTTAAAGGAAATTTCATTTTCTATACGAATTTTCTATAGTTTGAATTTCTTTTTCTTATGCCTTTTGTTTGTTTTATTTTGAATGATATTTTATTCAGCTTTAGGTCTGCTAATAATGGCACATAATATTATTGTTGATTTTGGTTTTATTCCCATTTTGATATATGTAAGTACCAGTACCATATAGAGACACTGAGATTGGTTAGAGATACACAGACGCGTGTGTACGAGTATTTATGCATGTGTGTATGTGGGGGGTAGGTTGGGGGGTATTCATTATACATATACATCAATCATCTATCAAGCGCCCGCTGAGCATATGAACAACCTTCAATGGATTAAATTTCTATATATGTAATTTATTAATAATTTCCTCATCAGTTTTTACAAATGTTCTTTCCAGCTTTTCCCCTGGATATTACGCTTTATACAGGAACAGAAACAAACACTTTATATTTATCCGTGAATATATATGTACATATATATTTATATATATATGCATGTATCTATGTATATGTAGTATTTTATGTTCGGGTATATGTATATGTGGGGATGGCCAGTGGATAGATTTTTAGATGGTTTGGATGCTTGTTTGTGTCTAGATTTGGTTTTATTGTTATTATATAATTGCTGCACACACACACACACACACACACACACACACGAGACAGAGAAAGAGAGAGGAGCAGCTCTTAATTAAAATTGCAACAAATGAACAATGAGACAGTGTCAAAGGCTGCCTGCCCGCCGAACCCCGAACCCCGAACGCCAAACTGAGACAACTGTTGCACAATGACATCCCAAGCTCAAGCTCGAGATGAATCCAAATAAAATTTCAATTAAATCAATTCAAGCATGTGGCAAGGCATGCTGCAGTTAGCCAGAGTGAGCACCGCCTCCCCCTCCCCCGCCGGGGGTCAAATAAGGTCGAGACTGGGGTCCAGCGTCAAGTGTCCTTCGGCCGGGCTGCATTCTCAAGTGCTCCACATGCACATTGGACACATGCAACAACCTGAAGCAGCTGTAATTGAATTTCGGCTTTGCTGATTCTGGATTCTGCTCAGTTCTATTCTCTATTCTGCTCTGTTATGCTGCTGCTGCCGCTGCTCTGCACTGCTGGAGTGGCTTGTTATCTTGTATTTGTTTAATTTTATTTTGCTGGCAGTCATCCACTGATGGAAAGATTACTGCTGGAAGCCAAAGATGCAAGTGAAGGCGAGGCGGGGCGGCTGTTGCAGTTGCCGTTGCTGTTGCTGTTGAGCAGCTGTTGCTTGTCAGCCATTGAGACATTACAAAGCGAAGACCATTTACATGGATGCACACATACACACACACTCGCAGATGCAACCACTCACACATGCCCATTCATACACACACACACACACACGCACACAAACTCATTTCATTATTAAATCAAAAAAGTTGAGTAAATTTCAGCCAGCGCGTGTATGTATGTCCGTCTCCCTCTGCCACTGTCTGTCTCTTTCTGTGTGTGTAACAATTCAACTTGATTGCCATTTGTTTTTAGCGAGCTGCTGGGTCCTGCCCCCCCCTCCGCACCCCACTCCACACGGCCACCAATGCCACCAACAGCACTACATGCGGCAAATGTTTTGCGGCCAACACACGCACACAAGTACATGCACCATCGCCATGCCATCCCACATCCAACATCCCTCTCCAGAGAAGTAAGCGGTGTATTCAATTAAACTTCCGTCAAACATGAAGCATCCTCTGGCACACCCACACCACCACCCAGCCACCGTTTCAGGGCTGCCTTGAGGTTATAAAATAAACATGTTGCCACACACAAAATTTAAATAGATACAAGTTTGCTGCCACACTGCATAACACGGAGAAGCCGCAGTGGAACAGAAAAAAGAAAGGCAACAAAAAAGAAAAGAAAAAGAATCGCTCAAAGATGATGAAGCAAGTGGATATAAGCAGCAGGATATAAGAATGTAAGCCAGGAGATGCTCTTTAGCCAAGAGGTAAAAAGTACTACGAAAAATATGCCACGAAGGGGGATACATCGATAGAAATGAAGTGAAAACGATATATTCAGAGGGATAGAAATAAGATGGTAATAAGATTGCCATAGATCCGGAGTCACAGACACAGGAGGATAGCAAGGATGGAAGTCTTGCTTCTTGAAAATTTCTATAGGCGAGGAAGTCCCTAAAGAGAGAAAGATTGAGATATAGAGAAATCAAAGACATAAAAATCTGATCTATCATATATGTATGTATGTATGTATGTATGTATGTATGCCCCCACTCCGATTCGTTTTGGCTTTATATACCCACAAATTGGGAATGTGGAAAGAGTATCAAAAGCGGGGGATCTCCATTAAGAACCTTTTCTCCATCTCCATGCCTCATATTCTCCTCTTTCCCAAAACAAAAGCAACTTAAAGACAGCAGGCACAACATAACACAGCACAACAAAACACAACACAACATAAGTATGATAAAAAGGGGGGAATGCGAAATTAAAATACAATTTAAAAGCATCAAATAGAGCAATTAAGCGGTGGTCCGCCATCCATTCCCCCACCCGACACACTTGCCACTAGAGAAGGAACTCCTTTTTGCCACTCGCTTACACTCGCAACATGGGCACTGTGCCGCACAAAAGTAGGCAACACGCACGGGGATACGGGGATACTGGCATACTCGTGGCATGCTCTCGAAACTTGATTACAAGTGTCGCGGAAAGCCCCAAAAAACAACTCGAAAGCGGCTCCATAACCATAATATGTAACTGAGTATGAGTATGGGCACATATGTATGAGTATTTGGCTGTGTGTGAGTGTCTATGTATGGGTGCTTGGGTGCTATTATTGCTCGAACATGTGTGCATGTATGTACGCGTATGATGTGGCAAGTAGTCGTATTTGTTGTGATATTCACGGCATACAACAATGGGACAACAAGAGCAGTACAAAAGAGCTGCGAGCTAGCAGGCAGCAGCCAAGTGGCAGCAACAGAAGAGCAATACAGCAAATGTAGCAACAACTACACACAATAGAAGTATCAGGCAATACAGAGATGAGGCCAAAAGGCCCTGCAGGGGCAGCAGCAATGGAAGTTGCAACAGAAACAGCAGAAATACTATCAGTTAGAAGTGGCAACAGCAACATCTTCCATGAAACTACTGTAAAATGCCCTTTGGCGAAAGAGCATTCATTGGAAATGTATCATGTGATCCAAGTAAAGTGAGTCTGAGTATTCTTTATCGAAGAGCAGAGCAGTCCAGAGCACGCCTCGCCTATAAGTTCTAGCTTTTAGCCACCTGCCGAAGTGTGATCTTGATCAAACTGACAATTTCTGTAGACCTGTAGACATGGATGGGTATTCGCCAACAGCCACGTTATCAGCACTACCAAAAATTTGATACACCAACGATTTACAGTACCAATATTACCATCATCATCAATTGTATACAGGAGCGATTGGAGTATCAGCAAAGGAAAGAGCAGCAGCAGTAGCAGCAGTAGCAGCAGAAATAATAACAACAACAACAAAAATGAGAGTTACCCCAGAACTACACCAACACAAACAACACCATAAGCTACACAACGAGATACACCAACGACAACCACAATAAAAGTGTTGCAGGCGCTTCACTAGTTCCCGATGCTGCTGCTGCTGCTGCTGCTGCTGTTGTTGGCTGCCGTCGTCGTCTATGTAATTTGAAACACTTGTGTCAACGTGCCCCCCCCCCCCCCCCCCCCCCAAAAAAAAAAAAACCCACTCCACCCTCACTCCCTCTGCATGTTGCCGTTGACATGTTTCTTTGGGTTGTTGCTGCTTTCTTCTGCTGCTGCTGCTGCTGCTGCGGTTGTCAGCGTCTTATTATCATCATCAGTGGCAGCTTTTGGCGGTTTTGTATATTTGCTGCCTCTCAGGAGGGGGTAGGAGAGGCAGTGCTTTTTTCTTTAGCTGCAAGTTCTTGAAGAGAGCTGGAGCCACTGAGATGGGGCAGGCACTGAGACGGTGGGGTTCTGCTGCTGTTCTGTTCCTGCTGCTGCTGCTTACAATGAAATTCACTTTGCCAAAAAGTTTTCATTTCATTAAAAAGTGGCCCAAGCATACAAACAGACATGTGTACATATACGTGTGTATACATATGCATCTATGTATGTAGGTGTGTATATTTGTGTGTGGTTAACTGACATGCAAGTAATTCATCAAAAGCAAAATGCAACCAACAAAACTGACAGCAGTTGCAGAGTGTATCTGTGTCCGCAACTTGTGCCCTGTGCCTTTGGCTCTGCCACAGCTGCAACACCCACTCGGAACACAGACACACGCACACACAGATAAACTCTCTCACCCACACAGCTGCAAAGACAAGTCTACGAACTGGCTAAAGATGTTGCCTGAGCTTCAGAGCAAGAACCACAAAAAAAAAAAACAACAAAAACCAAATAAAAAGAAAAAAACCAAAAGTTTGACGAACACCAAGATATAGTTGCTCAGAGGGGACGACAGAGGGCATGGTGTGGTAAGATGTGGCATGGTGTGTGGTCCTGGCTTAAGGGGCTTAAGGGGTTAACAGTGTGTGCAAATAATTTGCATAAACATGCGAAATTTAATTATTTCAGAGCAACTCGAAAGCGGAAGCAGGAGACAAATGGAGGCAACCACAATTATTAAATCCTTCAAAAGTGGATTACAACGGACATGGAAAATGTGCCCATGTGTGGGAAGGGGTCGAGTTATGTTCGAGACTTCCCCCCATACTCTAGGGCATGTCAGAAGGTTTTTATAAAGTTTTCTTTCCAATGGTTTCCATTCCCTCCTAGAGACCCTCTCCAATGAACCTTCCATTTCGGCCTCTTTCCAATGGTAACCCCCCTTAAGATCCTCTCCAATGAACCATCTGTTTAATACTACCCTACTCCACCATCCCCATTCCCCGTTCCCCATTCAACCCACCTTCCTGAAGAAATCCCCTTCTGTACTTGATGGAATGTCAATCAAACTTAACAAATGAACAAAAATCTGCACAAAAAACAAAAAAGAAAAGAATTTGCTTTCAAATCAAAAGTTTTTTGTTTTGTTTTCTTCTGTATTTGTTGTGTAATTCCGTTTTGGTTTGTGATATTAATTGACCTTTTTGGAAAGTTATTTGGATGTGCAAAAAATGTGTTTCGGCAGTTGGAAATTTTACGGCAAAAAAGATTTAATGAGAAAACCAAGAAAAATAAAAAAAAAAAAAAAAAACAAAAAAAGAGAAAAAGGAAAATGAAATTCATGTTTTGAGGCCTTTTTTCCTGCGCGATTTACACACACACAAATACAAGTACAGATACAGGAGTACCCAGTAGAGTGGAGCACTGGGGTATTACTGGGTGTTGCATGAGTACTACGAGCATTCCCATATACATACATATATAGCTACTGAGAGACAGTACTTTGATTCCGTGCAAAACGCAATTCTGGTAATAATAACTATCATAGAAAGTACATTCTCTAAATATCGATACATTATTTTTGGCTACCGCTCCGCTCTGCTCCGTTCCATATGTCCAGTTGTGTGTGTGTGTGTGTGGGTCCGTGTGTTATTGTGTTTTTGTTATAAACAATTTAACATTTGCTACTACAACATGTGTACGAGTATTTGTCTCTGTCCGCGTGTGGGAGTGGGTCCTGTGTCCTGTGTGCGGGGAGTGCGAGTCCGTTAGACTGGGTATTATAAGAGGCAGAGCGTGAGGAGTAAACCGGACACGGCCGACAAACCCATTAAGAGCGGCTGTCGACAGTGCCACCAATGCGGATGGTGCCATGCCTCCTGATGGGTCAGCCAGCTGATGGGACTGAGGCTCGGTTGGGAGGGTATGCGGAAGGGAAAGCCGATTCCGAAGCCGAAGCCGCGAAGCCCGGCACCGCCGGAGCTCATTCCGTTGTTGTTGTCGATGGGGCCGCGCACCTCTGTATTGCCGCCGTAATAGGGAGGCGGCTTACGTGTGATGCCCAGATCCCCACCTCCACCTGGCGCTCCTCCGACACCACCGACGCCAGCTCCTCCGCCATTCTGCTGCTGCTGGTGGTGATGGTGATGGTGGTGCTGTTGATGTTGATGCTGATGCTGATTGCCACCGCCGCCGCCAGAGTTGCCAGGCTTATGTGTGGGCGGTTTATTGCCGCTGGTGTAGTAAACGTGAGGCGATAACGGCGTCAGGCCCTCCCCATCGCCATCGAAATCCTCGGCGGAACCGTACTGCAGCTCCTCGTCGTCCGGCTGGTATGTGACTTTGACTTGTTGTTTCTGTTTTAAAATGTCATTGGCATCCGCATCCAAGCCGCCGCCTCCGCCACCGCCACCGCCTCCGCCGCCGTTGCCCTTTCCGTTCAAGGGATTTTTATTACGATTCGGACCGGGGATTTCTGAAGAAGAGGATGAATGAACAACAAAAAAAGAAGAAAACAAACCAGAAAATGTAATTGAAACAAAGGTGCGAATACATCCCAGATACGTATGTATAGCTTTTATGGCCCTCCTCGGCCGGGAGGAGAGAAATGGAAATGGAAAGGGGAAGAAAGGAAAGGAAAGGAACGGAACGGAATGGAACGGAAAGGAGCACCTACCATATAGACGTATGCTGCTATCGACCTCGCCGAGAGAGTTCTTGGCTATGCAGCGATAGGAGCCAACATCGTCCTTCTGGAACTTCCGCACAATCATCGACATCTTCGTCTCGTACATGGACTGGGAACTCTCCTGTACGTGGTACTTGCCGGAGGTGACAATCATCTCACCTGTGGATATCGTGCCAAACAGAAAATCAGCAAACTATAGGCATATATTTCACGGCAAAAGAATACGGAAAACTCAACGAATACGGATCTCTTATCACTAGAACAAAATCACAAAACGAATTCTGAAACACTAGGCAGGCTGTGACCCTAAACACTGGCATTTGTCAGTCTCCTTTGTAAGGCCAGAGATATCAGTATTAGTATCGAGCTGTCTCTCGACCTGTAACGAAATACATAACTTTTGTCTAACAAAATATTGTGCATTCAAAAATTTCCAAAAAATATATTTGTCAGAAAAAATTTTTCAATCTGATTACAACTGTTCACCATATCTATTCGGCTCCAGTAAGATCATGGGTGAGTAAAAGTCAAGTGAAATCGAATATTAAGTGTGGTTCGGACACTGACTCATAGAGAAACTAATTCGGAGTGTCCGGACTTTCTCGTATTACTCCGTGCTCTCTCTAGCTGATCCAAATCGGGATAGTTACTCCCATCCCCTCCCAACCTGTATCCAGCTAGATCTTCTTTCTCCCACTAAGTTCAAGCCGTGTTGTGGCCTATCCCATGATACAGTCATCCTGCTCTTATATACATAGTTCTTTGTGGCCGTGGCTCTATAGGATTTTTCTATAGATTTCCGTATATCCCAATGTCCTTTGATAGCCTTTAGCTCGCTTACGATTTCCTCTGATTTGGGATAATCAAAATGACATTAAACTGCACACTGCCTATATTCATTCATAGTATTCTGAAATTGTATCCGAATTTTAAAACACTAGGAGGCACTGCCCTAGCCATTCAAGTACAGCCAGAGATCACTTTGGATTGTGTGTTCGGTTAGTAAATAATGTAATTTTAGCAGAATATTTTCCAGCAAATAGAATTTCAACATATATAGTCGGTTCGATTATGGGTGAGTAAAAGTCAAGTGAAAGTGAATGTGAGTGTGAATCCTCGCGTATCCTTGGACTATGTAGGATCGCTATTGGGTATTGTCGCTTGTCCGCTGCTAGTACCAGGTATTCGATGTCCTTGTGCCTTTATTCATGAGTCCTGTCTCGTCCGAAGGTGTCTTCGACTGTCCACCTCTTTTAAGTATTTCGGGAATCTGTCGTTGTGGTTCCTTCTGACATTATCTTCTAATGTCCTCTACTTTTCAGATTTCTTGTTGCCCCCTTCCGTTGCTCTTTTTAGGCATAACATCCCGAAAGTATTTTAAATTCTTCAATCCGCTTCGCTGTCCGGTCCTTTAATATTTTTGAAGCCTAATGACTGGACACTAGGAACTGGACTGGGACTGCCACACGACGCAACTCTAAGCACTGTCAAAAATAGAAAAAAAATAAACCAATAGACCCCGAAAACCGAAACCAACCCATCCGCAGTCCAAGGCCCAGTCACAGTCGCAGTCGCAGCGCCAGGGCAGGCATCAAACCGACCTACCGCCACCTGGAGCCTGGAGCCTGGAACCTGAATGGGCGAACGTGCCACAATCTGACAACTGACTAATGACAATGCCAAACGATTCGATTCGATTCGATGTTGAAGTAATGATGCGTTCGTCCTGGGCCCGACATCTGCATAGATGTATGCATCCATGCGAGCATAGGGATATGCAGACAGCTCGGGACAGGGACATGCACACACACGCACACACACACATACACAGACTTACCCGTGTCCTTAATCCAGTAGTTAATTGATTTGGGCGAGGCCTCAACGTGACACTCGATTTGAACATCAGTGCCAAGTGGTGCGCCGACTAATTGATTTGGTACTTGGATGACTGGATGAACTGCAACGACACAACGTCAGGTCGCCCCACACGTGGGGCAATAAAACAGAGTTAGGAAGACGGCTAAATAAAAGCATGAGAGTATGTACATATATTCCACCACTAAATCCCATCTCCCCATCTCCCCATCTCCCAGCTCCCTCAATAATTGAACTCAAACTTGCCACCATTGGCGGAGCGCTCAAGGCAACAGGACTATTGTTTGCCAAAAAAATATCTGTATTGAATGGTTTCAAGCCCTCGAAAGAAGTCCTGATCAGCGTGGGCGCCACCACCACAGTCGCCTTCATCTTGTTTGGACTGATTAGAATAAACGGCATCAAGCGGGGTCGCGGCAGACGCGGTCAAGGCCGCGGTGTAGCTGTTGTTGATGTCCCCCGACCCGATGAAACTGGAAATGAACAAGTGGACAAGTCAGATGAGGCCGCTGCTCCCGGGATAGAACCGTCAGATGATAATCAACTAGATGATCAAGTAGAGTACGATGTACAAGCTTCTGGAGACGGTATCATGCATCAGAACGTCGCAACTGCTATCATGTTCTACCCCCACGGGGCAAGGCCTAACAACCGGAATATGCACAACATCTTTGAACATTACAATAACCAGGGAGTTCGCCACCTGAACATTACCTCTTTGCCACGTTAGATGAGGTTTTATGAGGTGGCGAGCCGGTGGGCGGTTCTCCTAGAGGGCAGTGCAGTTGCCACCGCTCACCTTAAGTTTTTATCGAAATCGAATCTGTAATCAACCTGTAAAAAACGTTGAATCCAAAATAAATTCTGCACAATGTGAATATTTGGGTTTTTGCCACGAAGATATTACTGATTAAACGGGTACCGCAATGGAAGGCCTCACCTTTTGTTCCGATCGGTAAACTCTTTTGAGTATCCGTGGATGTGCGATTCTTTACTTTGAAGAAATAAGACAGCATGTTCTTTACTTGTCCGGCAGTCCAAAAATGGCCATCCCGGTATTCAATGTTCTTCTGTTGGCGATGAGACATCTTAAAGCCCAATTTGTGCAACGACTTCTCGGTCTCCGCCTGCCCCCAGAGGAAAGCCAACGAACTTGAGGGCCAATTGAGTGTAGCATAATTTGATGGTGTGTGGCTGGCTCTAATGCCACTCCTGATGCTGTTGTTGCTGCTGTTGCTGTTGTTGCTGCTGTTGCTGTTGTTGCTGCTGTTGCTGCTGCTGTTGGGGCTCATCAGAATGCAGTTCAGGCAGCGTCGGACGGTGAATTGACAACTCTTTTGCCCAATGGCCCAACTTTCGTATTTATTGTCACTTAGCCTCTCACCTCTCCCTCTCTCGCAGGTGCAAGAGTCAGAGACAGAGGAGGATAACAAGATGGAGAGTCATTCGGCCGGCTATAACCAAAATTGGTGGTTTTGTAAAACCTGCCAAAAGCTGCCCAAACGCAAGCTCCCCCTCCTACCTCTTACCCCCTCACATTCTGGGCAGCTTACAGATTGCATATTGTCTCCGTCTATCTGCGAGGCGGCGCCCTCTCTCTAGAACGCCTGCTCTGCAGCTCTCGAGAGCTCCCCTTCTATCCATGTTGAGACATTTGTGGCCATGTGCATTGATAGTTGATTGCAGCTCCAACAATGAAACTTCCACAGAGTGTACTCCGTGTCCTGTACGTGTGGCCAGTTCTCCGCCTCTCCGCCTCTCCGCCTGTCCGTGTGTCCGTGTGTGTGTGGAGAGTTTTGCAAGTTGGAACGATTTTAATTGATTTCCATGGCCGAGTGCGTTCTGTCTTATCCATCAACTATCTATCGCTTCTGGTGGTTGGGTTTGGTTAGGGTTTAATAACTTCAATTCTGTCTGGGCGTGCGAGGAAATCCCTTAACGTTGTTTCGGGGATCCCCAATGATGCGTGGTGGAGAAATCACTACTGTTTTTCGGAGGCTGTCAAGGGATCTATGGATATTCGTTCCATTTCTGTTTTTGGTAGCCGCATTCCCGATCCGATCACTCCACAATAATAGCGCCCGCCACACAAGGAACGTGGCACCAAAGCTGAAATACACTGGTCCTCCGCCATGAGAGAAGTCTTTTCTCCACCGTCCGCTGGTGGATAGGAAATAGAAGCAGCGCTGGCAGCTTGACCAGGCATACGTGCTGGTTGACTGCCTCTACTTTAATCCACACGCACATGCACACGAACACACGCATGGAGCTGCCACATTCTGGGTCTATCCTCAGTGCATTTTGTGGAACTCCCAGAGAAGGGGTTAGGGATAGGGATAGGAATAGAGGATTTGGGTCCCTCAGGTCCCTCGGCACTTTCGCTTGGCGATTTGAAATTTTGCAATGATTATTCTGAGCATGTTCCTACCTGCCTTTGCATCGGACTGGCCCGGGCCGGGACCCCCATGTCGATGCCGGGGCTTCAGAGTCCGCTCAGTTTTGTGGCAAACAAAGCCACAAATATGCACTAATGACGTCGTCAGCTGCCTGGCCCTGCCTGCCTGCCGCCACTCTACAATGCAGCAAGCACTGCCAGCCTTCTAGCCTGGCAGCCTGGCAGACTGGCAGCCTTGCAGCATCCACATGAAGCACATTTTCGGCAATTGTTGCAGCAGGACTGGCGATGGAGAGAGAGACGCTGGGGCTTGAGTTGAAGGTGACAAAAATTCGGAACTCATTCAGGAGGAGGTGCGTGTGCTGGGCCCATGATAGATGGCCTATACAGAGCGTTTCAGCAGTGTAAGTAACACATAATGCTTGCAGCTTGTTTTGTTTTCCCAGTTTCTACTGTCTCAATTTTGATGAAACGCACTGTATTTAAATGGTTTATATCCACAGCTATTTTGGGGCATTCCACAGCTATGCAAGACTCTACTCCCATAGAGAGGGGAACACTTTTTCGACCCAAGAAAGTCCAATTGAACGACTTTGTTGGGATCTCTGTTGGCACTGACTTTACTTGTCTGAAATGCAGCGTTCAGTATTTGCAAATCTGTGATTTTTGGAGTAAAGATAACAATAAGAGCATCTCCCTTTTCGGGATGGAGCTACCTATATAGTACAGAAGGAGAAGTTCCAATATCTGAAAGAGATGTGTCAAGAGTCTGATTGAAAGATAATAGCGCTGCACGATGCGAGTAGTCCTTGCTCGTAGAAGGGATCTACGAAGGGAGCGAGTGCCGAGTGCCACAAAGGTGAAGGCATCTAGGGAACCTTTCCACCCATCGAAATCCATCGAGGCGTACTGTGCCTGAGTGTTTTTGTTTGATGGTTTGATGGTTTGATGGAGATGATCCAAGGAGCTGGGGCTGTCCGTTACACTTTTTTGTGCCACATCAACGCCTTGCATGGCTGAATTTTCTTCTTTGGTGGGATTTTTTGTTTGCTTGTGGCATCCGCACGTACGTGATTTTTGTCTCATTTTGCAGCGTTTATTTTGTGTGTTCGATTTATGCCGCATGACGCGGTGGAGGGGCGGGTGGACCTGCAGCGATGAACGTGCCTCGTGACCAATCCTCCGAGAGGCGCTCTGGCAAGGCCAGAGCGACAGGAAGTCTGCGATTCCGGCCTGGTTAAGATGGTTGCCGGCTGCATATGGCACGCCGTCTCTTCCTGCCGCACTTCCCATAGGTGCCACTAATTAAGCATCTCAGAAAAGCGGAGGCGGAATGAGGCAACAGCTAGGGGAAGCGCCTAATAAGGCGGCAGCGGAAAGAGAATTTGTAGCGGAAGTGGGTCGAGGAAAATATGGCATACGGCATGCGGCATGCGTCGCGTGGCGCGTGGCGCGTGGCAAGCTGCTTGCTTTATCAGCCAGCGACACTGCAGCAGTAGCGCCAGCCCCTCCCAGAAGCTGTGGCAATCTGCTCTTGCAACTGACTCCGCAAAAGTTTCCGAGAAGAAAAACGGGGGCAACGTGACAACGGGGAAACGGGGAGGGGTGGCTGTGGCTGTGGCTCTGGCTGTGGCTCTGGCAACTCTTTCGCAAACAAATTGCGAAGGAAGTTGTTGCAAAATGGCAACAGGAAAAGTAAACACGCAGGACTCACGGACGGACGAAAGGGCGAAACGACGGAGTGAAGGAGGAACACACTCTAATGGAATGGACAGAAGGTGAAAGAAAGAAGCGATGCGCAACTCGAGTTGATCAAAAAGTTTCGCTAGGTGGAGACCCTCAGCCCTCAGCCCTCACCCCCTTAGCGGCACACCTTCTGAGGAGTATCTGCTACTCGAAGATAACTGTTAACCAGTAATTCTAGTATCCTGCGCAAAAGGGTATCCCTGTTCTAAGCAGAAGGTTGTCGGGCGCATGGGATATAGGCAATACCCTCCCAATCCACAAGCCACAAATCAGTCGATATTTAAATGCAAGTTCCTCTGGAATCAAGGCCGACTATTCCCGACTATTCAAAGAAAAGAATCTAATATTATTGTTTCATGAGCCAGAGCTTTCTGGCTTCTCCATTGGCTAAATCAATTAGAAGTGAGACCCATTTGGGGAGCAATAAGCCCTCCTTCATTCAGGGGTTAAAGTTTCTCCACAGCAGCAGCGATCCCCTAGACCAAGTGCCACTTAAAGACCACATTAACACAATGTCAAAATGTTAAAAGGCGTGATTTTGCCACCTCCGTAGAGCGAGTGATATGGGGCATATGGGGAGAGTGGGGGCAGGCTTTTGCTGCAGTGGTAAACGAGCTAAAAAAAAACAAAAGCAAAAAAAAGAAAAATAAACAAGGGAGTTACAGGATGGTGGGAGGGAGGTGGCAGAGCAAACAAACGCAGTGGATGCCACGGTTTCCTCCGTTGCCGCCCGCCCCCCCTCTGCAGCTGCCTCGGTGATTGAGTGAACTGCCACATTGCAGGAGAGTCACAGGCGAGGCAAGGCAGTGAGGCAGCAGGCAGCAGGCAGCAGCCAGCAGCACGTGCTGCAGACAGTTTGACAAAAAAGCTGTGGCCCACCAAAAAGCACCTGCCACACACACACACCATGCTCACCCACACACACACAATACACAGAAACAACAAAAATACAAAAACGTTGGTGGTGGGAGGATGGTAGGAGCAGGTAATGCCCGGTATCAGTGACAGGATTTAAACGGATTACAACAAGGACAATCGAGTTAGCACGGCACATAGAGCATAGAGCCGTAGAAGCATAGAGCCATAGCTACCCCGGGTTTGCCTTCTGCCTTCTGCCTTGTGCCTTTTTTGCCTTTTCCTCTCTTGGTCCTTCTGTCTTCCTTCGCTGTGGGGCATCTTCGCAGACGGAGTGGACTCTTTGTGCACTGGCAGAAACCAGAATCGGGAACTGTGGGGATATTTAAAATAATTCTTTAAAGCTTCCTTTAGATAGGGGTCTGAACGGGGTTTGGTTCCATAAGAATTTCTTCGAAGGAACTTAATGGGATGCGGAATTCTGCAACTGGCTGAAATTAAATATTTTATTGCATCTGTAGGTATGCATTTTTAGCCTTGATAGGTCTGATAGGTATGTACACCCGACTAAACCTTTCAAGCGATTCAAGGATCAACCGAACACCAGTTCGTGTCCCTACAAATTTTTGCCAGTGGACGAGCTAAACGCAAGATAAACGCCCAGGCTCTCGGACCCGACTCGAGTGGAGGAGAGCAGGGGAGAGCTGACTGATGATGCAACCTCAACGTGCTGCTGCGAGCAGCTGAAAAGAGTTGACCAACCGCAAGCTCCTCTAATTAATGGCGCACTGCATGGAGATGGACACGAACGGCGGTCAGAGAGATGGAGACAGAGAGAGGGAGAGAGATGGTAAGGACTGGGAGAAAGAGCGTTGTGTACTTACAGTGTATGCTAAGCGAGATGCGCTTTGAAACCGATGGGGGAACCCCGTTGGAGGCGATGCACAGATACGAGCCCATCTCGTTCCGTGATATCTTTGACAGCTTCAGCACTTCGCCGCGGAACGAGGGCGCTGAAAGCAGGCAATTGTTGGTTTAGTTGGCACAGGACACACAGGGATACACATACACAGGTATGCGAGTATGTGCTGAAAAAACTACCGTCACTTACCCAGTGTCTTGGTGCCCACATTGTCCTTGAGGACAATCTCGTTGCCGTCCTCCCGCCGCCAGGTGACAATCGGTTCCGGATAGCCACGGGCTCTGCAAACAGCAAAATGAACAGCACAAATTAGTATGGATAGGGGAAACCAAAAACAATTGTCTTCTCGAGGCCCATAAACCATCTCGGCCACGCCCACTCAATGGTAATGGCTGCAAATGGGAAATGGTAAATGGTAAATGGTAAATGCTAAATGGGAAATGGAAAATATTCAAGTTCAGTGGCTTATTAAATTTAATATGACGACGACACGGCATACAGTGGGAGCCACGGCCAGATACCATTGTGTTATCGTTAGAGTGAGAGAGACCAAACGAGAGAGTAAGGCTAGCTTCGAGAATCGAACGTTTGGATACCCTCTCTCTGATCCATATTTCCCCTGGCATATATACGATAGGCACCCATTGATGGATGATTTTTGAATAAGAATTCCCAATTCAAGTCTCAAGTCTCAAATCGAACAGTTTGGAGTCTGTGGAAAAGATCAGTCGAATTGTTTTAAAACTGACTATTTTGTTCCGCCTTCTAATGATGAGCAAGAACACAAATACAAATGATTTCTAGTCTGCGTTGTAAAAACCTGCTAAAAATCATTATACCCTCTGCAAGGGGCATCAAAACTTTTATTCCCTCTCGCGCTCAAAGACCAACGACAGTGGAAAGCAAGCAGTGCAGCAGGAAAGCAGAGCAGCCACCGCTTGAAGCCAGCAGGCGCCGACTGCGACTACGTCTTTCCTGTCCTGCTCAAGTATGTGGTGCAACGGATAGATAGATAGTGAAAGAGAGAGAGAGAGAGAAGAGAAGAGAGCAGCAAGAGTGCGAGTGGTTTTGTCGAGCTTTTGCGGGGAGCGAGAGAGAAATGCGTGTTAAGACAGAAGTTGTTCAACAGCGAACCAGACACGGGTGTGGTAAATTTTTATGATGCCGCAAACAGATGCAAAATAGCTAAAAAGAAAATCAACCAACACACACACACACAGACATACAAACACAGTGTTAGGGGAAGCCTTCCTCCCACATGGCCAACACAATGGCGGCGACTGGCTGGCTACCAGTTAGCAGTCACTAGCAGTTGCTTAGACATGTTTAGTCATGCCGGGACAGGACCAAGACCAGGACGAAGACCAGGACCAGGACCAGGACCCACGCAGGCTGATTGAATGTGTGTGTGCGTGCGATGGGGAAGGAGGGGGGAAACAGCAACAGCTTTGCTTGAAATCTCTCTGAGTAAAAACTAAGTGCAATTTACATAGTCGAAAGAAAGAACTTGCAGAGGAAGAGGGCGCTTGAACTTTACTGTGCTGTGCTTCTGAACGGAGAGGAAAAAACCATTTAAAGTTGATTTACAGCTATTCAAAGCAGTGCGAGTATGATATGAATTCACCTACTCCCCTCCCTGACCTCCAATGCATTACAGGCGAATTTATTTATTTCATTATTAATTTGTTTTTTGACAAGCTCCAAGGTCGGGGGTGTCTTGCTGTAACAGTGCTATCAGTGGGAAGAGAGAGAGGTGTTACTATGGCGCTGTGTTTGAGTAAGAGAAAAAGTACAGAAGCAAGTGAAAAGTACCCGGGAAGCTGGGAAACTTCTTCATTCTATACAAATTATTGCGGACCTTAGCTCTTGACATTTGCCTATAATTTGGTAGTGGGACACATGAGCCCTTGCTGTGCCCTTTACTCCATCGTTTCTTCGAAGACAAAATCACGCTAAGTCATCTGGTTTTGGATGTATCGGGTTACATCCGTAACTTAAGCTCTTCAATTCACAGGTACTGGATACAGTAATTGGCTTTGCTCTCTCCCTCTGTGATCAGAAGGCGCTTTCCTCTCGAAGTCTATGCCGCAGAATCACCACGACTTTCGCGACTTTTCGCTCTTCTCTCACTCGCTGTGACCGTTACTCTACCGTTTTTAAAGCACCTTAACCCTTGTTCTGATTGTCTGGCTAGGTTAACGCCGTGCTTTTAATGTGCGTAAAGCTGAAGTTGAATTCATTTCAAGGGATTTGCACTAAGTGGTATTAAAAATGAACGGGAAACAAAACAGAAAATAAAACCAAATATATAACGTCTGCAGACAAGGTCTCTAATAGCTTTCCACACTCTCGCATTCACACACACACAGAGAGAGAAAGAGAGAGAGTGGCACAGTCGCAACGCGCTTATCGCCATCGTTTCATCATTTTGCGGTTAAATCGTTATAAAAAAGAGAGCAACACTTCGTGGTTGCGGTCAAGTTCATAAATCAGCAGACAGCCAAGGCTTGGCTTTGACTCCTTGGCCCCCACACTAACACCGACAGCGACATCACACCCACACCCGCACGCACACCAAGCCCCACCACCGCCGCATGCCCCTTACATGGCAGTTAGAAAATATCCAACACAAATTAGAGACTGTTAGCCAGCTTCCTAATACCCTTGAAAATGGTGAAAACTCCAGACCCAGACGAGGGGTTAACGTAAGTCCTTATCTCTTTGATGCTCTCTAAAGCAGCTAATCTACCCGCTATCCGTGTTAGCCCTAGGGTAGTGGTAGAAGCCATTGGTAGGGAGTGGAGTGTATTAGTGCGGAATCAAGAGAAATGAAGTGTCACTTAATTTGCTGACATTATTACACGGGGCTGATTGAGACGGGAGAATGGATGCGACTCTGGGAGTGCAGATGGAGAAGGCACTTGGATGGAAAGTTGAGGCTAAAAAACTCAACATGCGAGTATCGAAGTGCAACCCTCTGAGGCAGCATCTTGATGAATTGCATGTGGGCGGGGGTGGTGGGTCGGATGGGTGGAGGGCTTGATGGCTGGCTAAAACCATACGGTACATACTACTCACCGACATGTCAGGCGCACCGAACTGCCCTCCGGCACAATCACATCCGATGAAGTGTCCTCGCTGATAAAGTCCGGCGGTATGACCACATCCAGGAAGCCTATCTGCAAATGAACCAAATGAAACAGAAACACAAACATTAACAGAATCCGGAAGTGAATGGGAACGGGAGGAGGATGAAGGGATGGAGGGATGGAAGGAATACTTTATTTCTCTTACTTAAATTATCACAAATTGCTAGGGGACAAACGCACTGCACTGCCACTCACGGCAGAGAGAGGCGGCGAGAATTTGCTGATTATGCAAGTTGGTCATAAAGCAGAAGTAATGGTAAAGTGTTTTATACGGCGACTGGGAAAATGGTCCCTGGCAAAATAAAGTGGGGCCGAATAAAGGCCGGTGGCAAAGGTACGGGTATGTAAAGGTAAAGCTAATGGAATGGCGTTAAATAGTTTAAGACAGGAGAGAATGAGAACGTTTATGCCACAGGGCTAGTGGCACCCACACACACACACAGTTCATGAACACATGTGTACACACAGTGCACTTTGACCCGTCGAATCTCCGTCGTGTTTCCACTGTACTTGCGCTGTGTTGTTCTTGCTGTTCTTATGAAAAGCGTAAAAGTGCAAATAAAAATTAAGGAAGCATGAAATACATTTTATTGGCACCATAAACTTCACTTGGCTGGACACATGAGTGTACGTGTGAGCGGACACACACATAGCGATGTACGGTTGGCGGTGGGGGTGGGGGTGAGGGTAAGGGTGTACTTGTACGTGTACGTGTACCCCGAACACCGCACTATGGTCCGAACGACCACTTTTGTTGGCCAAAACCTAATTTTTCAAAGTCAAAACTGAAACCTGGTTTTGATCGCTCTGCATTAGAAAAAGATCGACCATTAAATCTGCGTACCAGAAATTTCCATAGATGGCGCCACATTCGCAAAATCAGCTGTGCAACCCAACTGTTTTTATAGTAAAGCACGTGAAGGGAAAAAGTGGCAAATTAATAACCACTTTAGATATCTCAAAAATTGAAAAACGCCAAGACGTGATTAAATTTTTTTGATGAATCTTAATCTGTCGGGTTCTTACTACGTGTTTTGAGTTTTAAACTGTCTCTAGTAGTTCTGATGTCTTCGTAATTGAAGGTTAAAGTGAGGCCTTCAACATGTGCCAACTTGTAATGAAAACTAATTTTTGAAAAGGTGTACAAAGTGAGTCCCACCTAGTCCCACCCTGAAACCTTTTCTGTGTCGTAGATTAATAAATTCTTTTTGAAATGTATATAGTTAGAAATGTCACTTTTTACCACAATTCTTGGAATTTGCATTAATAGAGCATAACCTCAAATTCGAAAATGCAGATTTGTTTGCCGAATGGAATTCAGAGAAGGGTAAAATTATCAATTATTTGAAAACGGATCTTAAGGCGACATATCATATGAAATTAATAAAGCTTTTGAAGATACCAGCAGGAAAATTTGTTACCGTTTGGCAACATACCGGAACAAATGCCGGTAAAATTCAAAGATGTTTAAACGAAAATATGTGGATTGGCCACAAGCCTTTGTTTCAATACATTTATCTTTATGTCCAAATATGCTAACTAAGTTCGTAAGGCTGTACAGGACCCAGTCGGAAAGCCGGCACATATCTCACTTAACGAGGCGTTAACCTTGCTTCTAGACAAGGATTTCGGCAATAATTTACGGAAACCTTTAAACGATTTTATTTTTATTTAAATCAAAATTTTTTAGTCGTGCAACGCCGTTTTCTTAAATAAAATATGCTTAATACTTTTTTTCACTATAACTAAAAATTTAAATATGCATTATTAAAAAAAAGGGGCGGTGCCACACCCATTTTTTTCTTAAATCCATTTCTTATTGATTATATATATCCAATACAAAAAACTAAATGAAAAAATCTTGTTCCGTTCGGGAGTTATTAATTTTGGCCAACAAAAGTGGTCGTTCGGACCATAGTGCACCGTTGGAGCGTACACAGAAAGCAGTAGACGAAGCTTCCCATTCATACACATACATTTGTGTGTGTGCATTTATTTCTCTCTGATATGTGTGTTTGTGGGCTGTGTGGGGATGGGGGTCGCCATTCGCATAGTTTTCGCTTTCGGTTTGCTGCGCTTTCTTCGCTTCCTTCTTGCGCCTGTCTTCTTCCACGCAAAAGAAGGAGGAGCAGGAGGAAAAGGAGAAAGCAGGACAACAGTTGAATGCATTCGCATTTTACTTTACCGTTTAATGCCGCATGAAAGGAATTGCGAAACAAAACCAACAAAAACAAAAGATTCCTGACATAAGCAGGGATCCCGATCCCCCCATAACGGCCATAAAAATAGCGCAAGCGAATCACAAATACAATAGTCCCCTGTCCTTCTCGAATACCAGTTCGTGCTCGTGATCGAATTCCTCATCGTTTGCCACATGGGTCTAAATTTAAAAAAAATGTTGCAGAAAAATCAAAATCAATTGCCCAAAAACCGGGGAGCGGTTTTGGGTGATCTCTGGGCAGATTCCCCTCGCTTCCTCGGCGAACTCCACTAGTGGAAGCATTCCGGCACTAACCAGTGCCGCATCGTCCGATGATGGTACGGAAGCCGCAGCAGATTCGCAGAGCTCCTAGTCGGGCCGTTGCATCTAACCCTCTCCTGTTGGACTTAGTCCTGCTGCATCAATAAAGTTTGCTTTGATTTACTTGTGTGTCTGTTACGTGTTTTGGAAGAAACATGCAAAATATAGGAGCAGAGACAACAGGCGAACGAAGCCAACAAGATAACGAACATGTGCGTATGAGCATGTAGCACCCAACAAAGAAACAGAGACAAGCGCCCTGGTACAGAGAACGGTGCATTAGCACCGTTCCTGTCTCTCGCCTTCGAGTAAGAGCCAAATATTAAATATTACACTCATCCAAAAGTGATGATTGGTGCTATGGTTAAAGAATGTTGCCAAGCGCCAAGTGTTTATGTGTGGGCATCAGAAAAAGTACAACCAGAAATTGAGACTGACATAGTTTTACGTCTCCGAAGTCCAAACTGCAGACCGCGACAAAAAACTAACAAAAACCAAATGAAAGCAATTTGTTTGAATAAAATTCAAATTACATAAATAGGTGCGTTTTTCATTATTAAAATGTTTCAAATATGAACACCACTCGATGAAATAAAACTTCCCTTAAAACCAAAATAACAGAAATGGAAGGAAGTTCGAGGTTATCATTAGGCGGATTCCGTAGGCAGTGGCTCTCCGAGCTTCTCGATGAGTGCACGCAGCGACTTGCACCCAGCGATGTCGATTGTCTCCATGGCTGCTTTCAGGACAGCTGCTTCGGCTTCCTCATTGAGCGAGTACTTCATGGCGTTTAGCTCGGCTTCTAGGCAGAGCTTTAGTTTCTCAAGTCCAAATGAACAGAAGTTGATCGAAACGGTGGTGTCTGAGATGTGCTTGAGGTACTTTTGGTGCTCCTCGAGGTACTGCGTCTCTAGGTTAAATATATAAACAACCAACACAATCTGATCAGCCATCAGCTCGTCAACAACACCCTCCCGATGAGAAATCATCTCATTATAGATAGGGACTATGTCCCTATTATCGATTTTTAGGTCGTCAATGAGATGGAAGTTCATGCCACAGTTCGATATTTCGTTCATGAACTGGCGGAGTTTGCGAAACTTATTAACATCATCTTTTCCAGAAGTCTCGTTGTTCCACGAATAGGAACGAACATTCTCCGACCATGGGAAGCTCCGCATCAGAGCCGCGGCTGTCATGGTCTTGCCAACGCCGGGTGGGCCGAGCAATGCGACGGAGCGGAACTTGCGATCGCGGCCTAGTTCTTGTTCCAACTGCATGAGTGCCTTATCTTGCCCGACGATCTGCTGGCCAATCTGCTTCATGGTCTTCTTCAAGTAGAGAGGTTGATTGCAGAAATAGCAGCGAGCGGCCTTTTCTTCTGCCGTGGCCACTGCAGCTGCAGCGGCCGTATCGGAGTCGCGCCAAGACATGTCGCCATCGGCGCGTCCTGCCAGCAAACGAGGGCTCTTGCTAGTCTCCTCCACGGATGGTCCGTTTGCAACGGCATACTTCCAAGCGACGACGAGGTACAGCAGCCAGCCCACTACCAGGGAGGACGTCACAACAATCACGAACAGCCACGACATAAAGGAGTGCCCTTCGTGGCATTCACTGCCAAGCTCGCGGTCGCGGTCGCGCTGGCGCTCGTATCTGCCTTCGCCGCGCGAATGGCGACGATGGTGATCACGCGTCAGGCTCACGCCGCGTGAGGGGTGACGTCGCGGCATTTTTGTATCAAATCCGAAATAGAATTTAATTTTTTAACACCGAGTGGTGAGGTTTTAGGAAAAATTGTATTTTATTTCGGAAAAATTATTTTAAAGGCTAGATGTTTACTGTTGACCGGGTTGTTGTTGAATGATTTTCGAAGGGGCTGTGCGAGGCCTGATCGAGTTTCAAAACCATCCACAGCCTCCTGTGACCGGCCATGTTATTTCGAGTGCCACCCAAAACCTATGCCTCAAATGTCAATAATAAATGTACATACATATGTATGTATATGGTATCGAATGATGATCTTTGACCTGACCCACCTGACTCTTCATGGGATCCGTGTTCAGTTGACACATGTAGCCGCCGCGATCCTCCTCCGCCACCGCCTTGATGTGCAGATTCCAGGTGTTCTGGTCCAGATGGCTGACCGTGACACGGGGATTGTGGGTGATGACGTTCTCGTGTATGGCCTGGATGGCCTTGGTGTCGGCTTTCAGCCAGCCCACCTGTGGAAGGGATGAGCGAGGAGGGGTCGTGTTTGTTATGTTTTCGAGTGCAAGGCGGCACGGCAAGGATGTTGACTTCTTACCCGATAGCCGCCCAGGTGGCGGACGTGGCACGTGAAGGTGGCGTCGCGACCCACGGCAACGGACACATTGGAAATGCTCTCCACAAACTCGGGCGCAAAGGCACCAATTGCTGTAAAGAAATGGGGGGCACAGAGTGAGAGAGACAGTGAGATTAGAGTGCATGAGTGTGCTCTGTGTGTGTGTGGGTGTGTGGGTGTGTGGGTGTGTGTCTGTGGCAGTTAATGATATCGCGCTGGCAATGCACGCTACTGGTGCATGGGCCTCCGCCTCCCCCTTGTTGCGCCTGCCAAAAAGACCGTGATTTATCGCTTTTAAATGTGCCCAAAAGCTCGCTCTGTCCCTCTTTGGCCCTCTTTCGCCCTCATTCTCCCTCTGTCCCTGTCTCTTGCTATTGCCAACAACTTAACTGTGCCAGACAACAGCCAGCGTCGCAGCTAGCGTTGCAGCCAGCGTCGACAGCAGACAGTTTAAAGAGCTGCGGCGGCTAATTGAAGATCGACATCCGGCACCCCGGAGGGACGCGAAGCGGCACCGCATACCAGGGCACAGGCAATCCTGGGTCCTGGGTCCTGGGTGCTGGGTCTGGGTCTGGGTGCTGGGTCCTGGGCATACGCAAATATAAATAATTTATTGAATCATTGAAAATCAAACATTTCACTTGCAAGTGCTGCAAAAAAGTTTACCCAGGCCGTAACAAAAAAAAAAAACAACAACAAAAGCGCCAACAAATAAAAAGTTAAAACGAAAGTAAGGCCGAAACTTTGGATACCCTTGCAGATCAAACGTTTGTCATTCGGTTTTCATCTACTTGTCTAAAACACGAATACCCGTAAAAACATGTCGAGTACGTTCCTAGAAGCCAGTAATTGGTTGCTCACAAAGAAAAATATCTAACAAATGATTGTTCTCTCCAAAAGCTATATAATATATGGTCGAATTTGGTAGAGCCATGAAATTTTAGATAAAAGTGGAGTTTTTGACGTATGGTTAGTCTTCCGAGAGGACTATTGTTAGTAAAGACAGATCGGGAATATATATTTTGATGTACTTTCTTTAGGGTCCTTCCTGGCATTGCCTTTGTATATCTGATCGAAATCATAGTACCCGAGGTATTCGAGGGTATAGAAAAAATAATGGAACAGAACGAGGGCTAAGCGGGGCGAGTGGTGGCGTGGGGGAGGCAGGCCAGACAGCAGGAGCCACGCACGACTGCTGTCCTGGCCGCAGACTCTCCACTGCGCCCCATCCACCACACCCACTCATCCCCACTCTCTCCTGCCACGCTGCCTGCCGTCGTCTACATCATCGTAATGCATGCAAAAAACTTTTGGCAAACTTGAAATTTAAATATTTATAGACAGTACCGTTGCCTCACTGATGCGGCAGATAGACAAGAGTGCGAGCGAGAAGGAAAGCTGGGCAGCTAAGGGATGTGGGAGGGGTACGGAGTGTATTGTGTGTAGAAATATGTTTGGGCGAAAATATGTGGAAGAATGAAGAATGCTGAATTGACTCAATTGGCCAAGGGCATGATTTATCGCACTTTCGAGTGCCGAGTGAAGAGTGGAGTGCGCAGTGGTGGTGGGAGGGGGTTGGAGAAGTGGAGGTTTGGGGAAACCGGGAAACCAATTGAAATCACACTCAAAATTACATTTGATAATCTGGATAATCCACTTGGCATACCAGCAGTTCAAGCCCGAAGATAAAGATACAAAAAAGAAAAGTATTTAAGCAAATTTATTTGTGGGTCGAGTGGCAGGATGGACGGACGGACACATGTTGGTTTGCATATGCAGATTAATTTGTAGCTGCCAAGAGAAGTTTTGCAGCAGCACCATCAGCAGATGAGTGTGAAGGGCCAGAGCAGTGATAATGTTATATAAGAATAATAGAGACTTCTGCAGAGGAGAACTGGAGAGAAGATTGAGCAGAAGCTTTAGCTTGGCAGTACAGAGGGAAGTCACAGTCGAAGCTGAAGAATGAGCAGAGCAAAGGAAGGAAAAATTTGACAGAAGAGTAACAGAGAAGAAACAGGGAAAGAAGAAGAGCGTTGAAAGAAGAAACTTCAAGTGGCACTCCAAGCTGTGGTGGATCACTGGTGAAGCAGAGGAAGCAGTGCCTAAGCAGCAGGCAATGAGGTTCAGATTGTATGATTAGAAGAAACAAGCAGTGCGGGGAGGCAACTGAAAGAGCAGTTGCCCAAGCAGTTGCACAGATACGAGTATGTATGAAATCTACAACAACAGCAGTGCAAAGTTCAAGCAGCTGTACATTTGTGGCCAGCAGCAGGAAGAGGCAGAGAGGGAAGCCAAAGTGTTTGGTGCGACCTCTGCCACAAGGAGCATCTGCAACTGCAGAGAGCCGTGGGTGAGTGGGGGTCTAAAATGTAGTTGCTGCTTGGCTGACTGCGGCTTGTTTGTCAATCTGTTGAAACTGCATGCCAAAGATGTTTTCCAGCATTGTGCCAATCCCAATGAAGTTGTCTCCTGGCCAGAGACCACCTTCCCGCTCTTGCCCGCTCAGTTCTTGTTTGTGAACTCTGGCCTGTCCTGTCCTGTCCTATCCTGTTCTGCCCTGCCCTGCTCTTCTGTGCCATGCTCTGGTTCTTCTTCGGCAGGCATTTTGAAGCTAAGCCAAAGTCAATTAACCCCCCGGCTTGGGTCCACTCCAATCCACCATGGTCCCATTCCTGTCCTGTCCCGTCCGCCCTTCCTACAATCCCATATCATAAATTTCCGCTTCTGCTGCTTCTTCCCGAGCCTCCTTCACTGCTTCTGGTACTGCTTTCGCCTCATCTTCCACTGGTTCTGGTACTGCTTTGGCCTCATCTCATCCTCCACTGCTTGGTCTTTTCGTGTTTCCTCATCTTCATTTCAATTTTCGTTTCTTTTGCACACTGCTACCGTTACACACACACACACACACACACACACGGGGGAACCACCATTTTGAGAGTCTTGTCAATTTTGGCTCGTATCCCGAGGCGGCGCTGCGCTCTCTGTTGCCCCACTCCGTCTTCTCGGGAAAAAGTTTAAATCACACAACGACAATGAGGATTTACCAAAGCAAATTTATGGCTAAGGACATTGGCAAAAGTTAAGCATACGAATGTATTAGTGGGTGTGCGACGATGTGCGGTGCGAGGTTGATTGGGTGGCTATAAGGAGAGCCGCCCGGAATATATATGGGCGGCGGCCCAAGGTGCCCAACAAACACACACATGATACTAAGATGCGAATCTGCATGGAAATGGCACACAGGACACGGCACATAAGACACTGGCATTACCTTTACCTTTACCTTGGCCGTTGCTGTTGCCGTTTTTTATGGCCTCACACATGGACAGCCACACAAATCCACTGCCAAAGCGCCCAATGATAGGTGATAATGGCAAATATCGAGAGGCACCAAGAGGACAGATGAAAAGCCAGCCCAAAGACAACACAAACTTAAATAAACACAAAACTGAAAATGAAACCCAACCAAGTACCCCAGCTCTGGCAGGTCGCCCCGGTTTCCCCCCGGCTTAAAGTCAGCTTCTGTTCGTTCGTTTTTTTATTTTTTTGGTAAAACAAATAAATGACTTGAGATGGGTGAGAAAGTGGCAGGACAGAGGGTATGCCACAGACGATGCCTGCAAATGGCTGTTGGACTTTTGTTCTTCTGGCTGGGTCTGGCATTGAAATTAGCATTTTTACAAATCGTCGTCTACAGCCGTTGAACTACTGCCAATTGAATTCACAATCCACCGCCGAGCCACCCACCACCCATCACCCACCACTGACCAAGACAACAGCCCAACAAAAAAACGAAAAGAAAATATTCAATTTACATTTCTTCAACTTTCTCCTTTTGCTTCTCTTTTTTTTTGGTTTTAACAAATGTCGCGCAATTAATTGTGTCTTGATTTTTGCTGCTCTCATTCTGAAAAGGGTATCCCCCTGGAAGTCCTTAATTGCCAAAGTTTCTGGGCTCTGGAAGGGCTTTCGGCATTGAGGCTGATCAATATTTGTTGCGGCCAGGTGGAGTAGGCTTCTGTTGCGAGTCGAGGGAATCGTTCGATTGCTTATGAACTATTTCTTAGTCCAAGCAGCTAACTTTTTGGCCAATATCTATACTTAACTTATACACTGCTCCCAATTACCACATTGGGTATCATTAAGGCCTTTTGCAAAAGTTTCAAGCCATTTTGCTGGCCATGAAGTCAGGAGTCTGTGTGGTTCATTGCACAAATAGATATTTCACATCACTTTATCGTTTTGATACTTGATAGTTAAGTGTTATTTCTGATTCCCCTGACTAATGATGTTTTAGGGCGTGCATAATAACATAAGAGCGTTTACACTTGCATTAACATGAAAATATGTAAGAATTAATTGTATTTATGTTTCGATTAAAGCTCGCAGCCGTGCAATATGAAATTATGGTAAAGCGTTTCCTGGCAAAAGGCAAAAGGCGTGTGCCAGCCTTTTGCACAAGTCCTTTTGGGGCACAAGTACTCCAGAATTTTCAAAAGTTTATGCAAGTTTATATTTAATTATAATCAAATAATCCGTGCAGTTTATCCAGTTTGTGAATTGTTTGGCTTTGCTTTCCTGTGGGTTGGAGACTTTTGGAAACAGTTTCTTCCCTTTTTTTTTTTTTCCTCTAAAGAGAAATAGATTTGAAATATTTTTGCATAAAGCTACCACACATTTATCTTTTGTTTGAATACATATGTATCTTCTGATTGTGTGAACAAATCAATTTTAATCCCAATCTCCTTCAGTCCATCAGGAGCCATTAGCCCATATGCCAGGCCAAATATCGCAAATTATATGGTGTTTTTCTTTTTGCCATTCTCTGCGCACCTTAATTCCTTTTATTCGGTCTCCATACTTCGAATTTCATTCCTTGGGCGTCACATTTAATTAATTACAAATTACGCGCATTTTTTGGCGGAGAAACTTTTTAAGGGAATCCAAAAGGGGCAGCAGCAGCACCAGCACCAGGGCGGTGGAAGGCAGATAGTTAAAGTTTGGGGCCCAGGACCCAGGACCCAGGACCCACGACCCACGACTAACTCCGAATGCGGCTGTTGCGTTGACCGCGTCCACTAAAA